CCCGCCGCAGTGGCGGGGGAGGGGGGGCACGTGACCGCCCGGACAGGCGGCCCGGCGCGCCCCACCCGCGATGGGCACCCCATCTTCCTCCTGGAAAAGCCGGGGGACACAGGGAAGGCGGGGGAGCATGAGGGGTGCAGGAGAGCCTTTCAGCCCCTTTAGCCGCAGTGCCGGGTGATCCCGGCCGCCCAACTTGGGGAGGAAGGGCTCCTGCACCGCCAGCCGGCCTTCACAGTCCTCCCGTCCTGCCCTTGGCCGCAGTATCCTCCCCTGGGCTGCAGTACCCGCCCCCAACACCTCCAAGCACAGGCACTCTCAGTGCAGACCACCGCCACTCCACAGATGTCAGTGCTACTTAGAGTGTGTGTGCGTGTTCTCCTCCTTTACGCACACCGGCACGTTGTACCCAAGAGGAACTCAGGGCGATGCACTGCAGGCACCACCTAGCTCCAGGGCCTGAGAGACACTTCCCCCACCCCCCACTCCCCGACCACGCCCCGGCTCCCAGGTCTTGACGCGGAGGGACTCGAGCCTGCTCTCTCGGGAGGAGGCGGCGGCGTCGCGAGAATCGGTGTCCTCGATCTTCCCCAGGAAACAGGCCGGGAGGAAGGGGAGAGGGCGGTCCTCGGGGTGTGAGTCCGGTTCGTATCCTCTGGGAGCACGTTGTTAATAAAGGTCAAATTAAAACAACTAAGCTAGTGGTGCCGGCAGGGACGCGCCGCATGGTCATGGTAAGCCCGACTGTTAATCACCCATAACGAGCATTGCTTTGCTCATGCGGGAGAATGGGGCTGTGCGAGAGCCCCCCGGAGTTGCGCACTGTTCTAAGCCCTAGTGCTCCCTCAGAGTGAGTGCATTCCGAAGCTTCTTACCCCACCTCCCCGCGGCCCCCTCTCCAGGCTGCACCACCCTAGCTGGCAGGAATTCGGAGAAAATGCGGTGTCACGTCCGCCGTTGTGCCCTTGGATGCGTCTGCGCCAGCTCCAGCAACACGTGGGGACCGTGAATCTAGGCGTCTGCGCTCCACTTGGGTGGTTGTGTGGGTACACTTATATGATTATTTATTATAACCAAATTGGAGGGAGAAGTCTGTTTCTAAACTGGATTCTTTCAAACTTCTGTCCAAGGGAATTTTGTACTCGTTTTGGGCGGGGACGCAATTTCCAGCCAAGGCCGCTATGGCGCTCAGTTGAGTCCAGGGCACGGGTGGTGGTGGTGGGGAGACAGAGGCCCCTGTGTCTTGGGTGCTCCACCTTCGTTCCCCACTTCGATCAGTTGGGCAACACGTCCCTCGCCTCAGAGGCCCTTTCCAATAGGAATGTGACCGTCAGACAGTGTTGAAGCCGGGTACCTTGACCCCATTCGTACCTGGGCAAAGGACGAGTGACCAGCAGGTTTATCTGGAAAGAGAGTTCACCCGTAAAGCTTCCGGCACAAACGCTAGACAGGGAACCTTTAAGGAGGCTAGGAATCTACCCATTGTAAATTGGGGGGGGGGGGGGGGGG